GAAAAAAATCCGGCCCGTGGGCCGTATCGTAAAAAGCTGGACCGGTCACGTGCGTATGATTAGCCAATTAAATTCGAGGATTTAGGAATCCGGCCCGCTCAGATGTTTGAGAAAAAAATAAAGTAAGAAATTGTTTAGTTGTGCAAAATTAATACTTTTATTTACACCAATTACAATACTAATACAATAACTTGTTCAGTACAATACAGTTACTTACGTTACTTGCAATACTAATACTTACGTGAATAATTACTTACAATATGATGAGATTACTTACATTTAATACTTAAAATATAATACGATTACTTGCGCTACTTTATTCTCGCACAGCAAATAGATTACTACAGCATTTCAACTCACAATGCATTAAAAAAAACAGCTTACTCCTGTCAGTAATTTGCGTCGTTAATATGAGCTGATAAAAATAGGCATGTCTGTATTCATGTGCCTTGTTTCTTTTCCTTTTATTTCTATTTTCGTTTTAAGAGGACTAGTTAGAAAGCTAAAAAGAGCTTACAAAAAGAACAACAGAAGCTTCCCTTTTTTAGAGTTGTTGTAGTTGTATTGTTTTATATTTCATAGATATGTTTTACATACAGTATAAGAATTTGTTTAGTCTTGGAAAAGTAATACTGCTACTTACACCAATTACAATACTAATACGATTACTAACACTCCTTAGTAGAATTCTACTAGTATCCAGATGCAAATGCTGTGATTGACTGAGCCATTGCACACTATCACCCATTAGTGTGCAGTGGCTTGGTTTGGTCGAAAAAATTGCAACATTACCTCGTTTCTCCGAAGTTTTGAAAGAACATTTAGAAACAAATGGATAATCAAATAGCTTAGAAGACTAAAAGAAGGGCATTTTCGGTTTCTTGAATCAAAAAGCTCCAACTTTTTGGACAGAAACTATTAAGCGCACGTACACAACTGCAAATGTCAAGTTGACGATTCAGTCCGTGTAAATTCTCGAAAGCGTCAAGTTTAATACTAAGATCAGAAATAACTGGAATCGTTATTTGAAGGAAAATTCAGTTAGAGTTCTACATAACAATTAGATTATTCCCTCTCGATTACTATGAGGCGATATAGTTGATTCGGCCTTCGGCTTCACCAACTATCACCTCATAGAAATCTCGAGCTCATAATCTAATTATTAATTACAATATAATACGATTACCTACGCTACTTACAATTCTTGCACAGCAAATAGATTACTACAGCATATTTACTTACACAACGTGAAAAAACCAAGCTTACTCTAGTCAGTAAATTGAATTGTTAATATTTGAGCTGATGAGAAAGACATGTCCGTATACATGTGCCTTGTTTCTATTTCTTTCTTTTCCATTTACATTTTAAGAAGACTAGTTAAAAATTTAAGAAGAGATTACAAAAATGTATTGTTTTCTATTTCATAGATATGTTTTAAATATAGTAAGAAATTGTTAAGTTTTGGAGAGCATTTTTCCTGTCTTCATAACCAAACATAATCTTTAGCATTTAAGCCGCAGAAATTTATTTGCAGTTATCTGGCCTTAAACATGTCTCTGTTTGGGCCTTTTGCTCGGTGAACACGAGCAAAGGCCTTTCAAACGAAATCAAAACGTTTTCATGCAACGATGGATTTCCCGGAGATAGCCCGGCGATAAGTTCTATGTTTGAGGCAGTTTCTCCAAGCTTTTTTCCTTTTACTGCTTGTTTTGCTGTTTGTTATTTGAAGGGATAAACGAGGTGTCCCAAAGACTACGATAGCCCTCGAGGTCTTTGCATAGGGCAAATTTCTGACTTCTGAGTTTCTGGTCTACTTCGAATTCAGGTTTGTCTTCACCGTCCGCCATGTTTTTTTTAATAACATATTTGTCGCGTAGACGCACTTCGCTGACAGCCAATCACAAGCGTTGAATTCAAACTTGTTGTTGTGAGGCAACAAAACTAAAATTTGCTTCAGAAGGTAGAACTCGAGTCTAATTTGGCCAGCACGTTGCGTCGACTTCCAACACTGTATTTTGCTGTATCTTGGGTTGTTGCGAAACAAGTTGAAGGAAAATGTTGCCCGTATTATTTCATTTATTCTCTACAGGAGTCATGCTGTGCTTATTTTCTTGGAGAACTTATCATCGGAAAAAATTTTTTGAATTAAATAATAGTTTGGCTTCTATTTGGAGGGACTCGGTTATACAAGTGGTTGAAAGGGAGGCTTCCCTTTTCTTTTTAATCAACATCAGTTTATTTTAGTTCACAGTTGTTCCGAATTATAGCGCGACAAAATAAAATTCGGTTGCTGCTCAGAATGTGGTGTAGGCATTAATAAATAGTTGATAGTTACGAGAGACAACTAAACAACTAAGCTTCAAGCTGGTATGATCAACTGCAATCTTGCAATCTGAACAGTTTGTTATCCCCACAACTGATGAAAAGAAAGAAAACCACTAAGTAAATATTGTACCACGAACTACTTCGAACTAACATTCAAATAATTTTTTCAAGCAACGTTTTGCAAGGAGAATTATAAATAGTTCGCGCTGGCTTTAAAAGCGAAGTCTTTTTGCATTGCTTCATAGTAAAGGCCATGGAATAAAGACTTTGTACCCTTCGAGACAAATACCCCTTTATCAGCGAGCAGAAAGCGAAGGGAAACTCGGTTTGGCAGGGTGAAGTCTTAAGTGCTTTGCCTTAATAAGATTAGTAACAATAAATTATATGCGACGATTTTTCCAAGCTTGAAAGCTTTCATAATTTACATATCGCATGAAATTTCGAATAAGGCGAGTTGATTATATGCCAAATCACAAACAAGTTAAATGTTTCAAAAGTGTATATTTATTTTTTCCTATTTTCGAAAGCATTACAGATGACAATAGTAAAGTTATAAATATCCCCTAGGCTGTAATATTTGACGGATCCTGTTTACATTTTATTTCAATGATTTTATTTATGATTTCAGAAGTTTGATAATTGTCAGTTCACTAATATGAAGTGCAACAGATTTTCCTAAAATAAGCAAATGCTAACACCAAAGGGCTTTACGTCATATCATCGATTTCATCCACAAATTTGCTATACCTTGCCCTGTTTCAAGCACGAATAATACTAAAGCCTTTTTTTTATCGGGGAGTGGACAAAAGAAAAATGGATTTAATTTGAAGTTTACGTGTGCGACTACGTGTGTTTACCATTTCTTTTATTTGTGCTAATAATCTTTGTAATGTATTTGGAGTAAACGTCGTTTGGTGATTTTCAGGGTAGAACCTGGTGTTAGCGAAATATGACTTTCTACCTTGTCGTCCATTCAGCACGACATATATGTCCTTAAAAGTGTAATGTTCTTTAATTAGTTTTTCGCCGCTGTGGTCAAAGAACATAATCATTTCTTTTTTTGTTCGACCCAACACAAGCCGCTATTAATTATTGACGTTTATAAATACAAACAGACTGCCAAAATCCTGGTCACAAAGTTTGATTAAATCTTGAAACAGTCAGCACTATTGAAAAACAAGGACCTCCATCTCGGTGAAAATTGAATGACTATAAGCGTTTACTTTGTGACTTGTCGATCACAAAAAGTTTTTATATTTAATGAAATGACGAAGCCCCAAATACCATTGGCCAACATAAGTAAAACGTTCTGATATAAAAGCCGATCAGTTATTTAAAACACGACATTTAATTAAGCCGCATCGGCGTTTAAATTCGATCCGAGGTGGGTTTCAACATCGCTTAGCGGACTGAAGTGGAAAACTGAAACCTTTTCTTTCTTGTAAGTAAAGGATGTGTTTTTGTTCCTCAACAAAAAGGGAACACCTAACGATTTAAAAAATTAAGGCATGTCCATATTTATCATTAGATGTTGGTGTTAATGATATTCATATCAGCCCTGAACAAGGACAGGTGAAAGAGGATAAAAGCAAGTGCCTTACACGCCATTTAGAATCGAAGTGGAAGGCACCTTCCGTGACGAAGTATTGCTCGAACATATTGTTACTTTTTAACAAGTATAGTTTCCTCCTAGGTGTATGTTCTAAACTAAACCGAAAGTAAGATATGGCATTTATTGCCTGCTTAAGTTCAAGTTTTATTCTCCTTGCAACCTAATGAACTGCACTTAGCATTTTCTAAATTACTTGTATTAAAGACGGAAATACGATTTATATCTTAGACATCCTTTCCAATTTCTTTGATTCAAATGTCAACAGAAAAAATTTATGAGTAAGGACTGTGTTTGCTAGTGGTTGGTTTGCCATGTTAATCTCAAAGAACACGCCATTTTCGATAGAAATGTTCACAAACCGTTGTTCCGATGGCAAGAAGTAATTAACTTTGAGAATTATGAAGCTTCATTACAAACTGATGACTGTTTTGCCATTAAAGTAAGTCATTTTTAAGTTAGAGTTTAATTGTTATGGAAATGACCTGCACTTATCGTGTAATTTATGGGAACCCCCACTTCTGCAGACAGTTTCAAAAGTAATTTTGTACAGCAACACCATTGTGTTCTATTCTATTGACACAGTTTATGAACCAACCACAGAGCGAGAACATCATCGTGACGTCTGCAAACAAGACCTTGCGTGATAATTGAAGAAGAGAAAGCTGCGCAAGATGATAGAAGATTCAGAGTACATCAAGCTAGAGGGAATCGATGACAAAGAAATGTCACTCCGCTTAAGCCTTCTCGATACCAGGAATTCTCGACGAATATCTCACAATTCCATGGCGGAAAGCTCTCTTCAAAAAAGCATCAATGAAACGGTGGAGCAAAATCCGTGCAAACGGATTGGGTTGCATCAGGTAGGAAAGACCAAAGTTCTCGTAATCGAAGAAAAACCTATCAGTTACTTAATATTAAATTAAATTCTCTGTTGTGAGAAAGCTTTCTTTAGCTTCAGGTTCAAGGAAATAATGGACAACTGAAGGACAGTTTACTGTACTATATCGTTACGCTTACATGCATCCAGTTTGTAGCCAATGCTCAAAGACCTAATCAGGCATGACGGCCAAAAATAAGAAACGAAGCATGTGGGCAATAAACAAATATCATGCCTGACTAAAGATGTTGACGTTCAAGTAATTCGTATTTAAAACTTTAGACCCAGAAGCAATCGGACATGTACATTCATTTGGTTACGTCCACTTTACCAGTAAAGAAGAAGAAAATAGGAAAGCTAGGGTTGACATATCAAGCCAAGTAGCAGTGTACAAGTTTCAGTAACAAGCCTTCAGAAGAGCAAACCTCCCATAATTATATTTATTATTAACAGATCCATATCCTGTACGTTAAGTTAGAACGTTTTTTGTTTTTTTTTTAAATTTCCAATCGGGGTTGTTTGCAACATGTGTGGTCATTATAGCTTTTACTTAGAGTGACAGCACAGATGATCTTTTTCACAGAGAAAAAGTCGAAAGTTAATTTAAATATCATTAGCATTAACGTTACAGTAATCGCTCCGATATCACGCGTTTGAGATTAAAATTTTGCTCTTCTTTTTCCCAAGGTCTCAGACATATTTAAGAAGTTACATTAATTCCTGCATGGCGTCATTCTCAAATTTAGGAACTCTATACGGTCGATCGAATGTTGTCGGCGATTTCGTTTTCCAATCTAAACAGCTCAGCAAAAAAACCTCTGAGATTACGACATGTATTGTTGATAAATTACATATTTCGTCATGTTAGCTGCAGTACATCAATATCGGGAAGGGACTAAGCTTCGAAGTAAATTAAAGGTCTGAGATTCAGGTTCATGTACGTGCAAAATTACAAATGAACTTTGTTATAATCGTGATGGGTAAGCTAGGGTTTAACGTATAAATAAAGAAATGTCTTTTTCAGCTGATAAAAAGAAGTCAAAAAATAACGTAATGGATGGATCATGTTTTGCACCATTTTTTTATGCAAACCAAACGAAATGTTGTGAAATGAATCTCAATTTATAAAAAAGTTAGAATAATTTACATTCCTAAGAATAAGACCACAGCAAAATAGCACGTTTAGCAGTGTATGTGACACAAGTCGTCAGTACATGAAATAAATCCTTCTCATATTTATTCCCTTTCCCTTTTTTTCGCGACAGCAGTTTGCTCGTCGTCTTGTTATGATTTTTAAGACCTTTTCCAAGAAACTGTCTGTATAATTGTTGCTCCCGAAAATTGCAATGAAAACGAACAGAAAGATCAAGAAATGAAGGAAAACTGCTATTAACACCACAAAGTTGAAATTCATCCGCACAAAAGATATGATTTTCGGGGCAGAAAGTGTTATTAAAATGTGTTTCACTGCAACTTATTATTTCATGCATACAATCATTTTTTTGTACATCCAGGTCAAAAAGATCAAGGACACAACAAAGTTTATATTTTGCTAACATCGAATCAAACTGTACATAAATCATTAATATAACTACTGAGTTCAAATATAACGAATTTTTGAGCAGAATTAGTCGTTGTATCCGAGATTTGTAGTCCGTTAAATAAGTTTACACACAGAGCAAACATGATTTACCACAAAAGTAATCGCTAAAAGGAAGGTAAACATTCAGCAAGAAATCCTTCAGAAATTTTATGTTCCCTTTATTACTGTGTGTTTAAAGAGAGGTTTATTTATAATTTGGCAAAGAAAACAGCTCTTATTTTGACATTTTCCAATTTCTCTTCGATAAAAGCTTTTCGAGTTAGTTCAGCTGCTTCTTCCAAATTTGGATTAATAGATATGGCTTGCCGTATATCAGAAATTCCATGCACGAAAATATCTGTATGTTGCATGAGCGTTGCAGATAAGCTTTGATATTCAGAGCACGCACGCTTGACTGTACTAACAGATATGGCTTGCCGTATATCAGAAATTCCAGGCACGAAAATATCTGCATATTGCACGAGTGTTGCAGATAAGCTTTGATATTCAGAGCACGCACGCTTGACTGTACTAACAACTTATCTAGCAAGCGTGGAAAGGGTTAGTATGTATTATAAAGCTCTCTCGCGTATTGGATTTTTATGAAATCATCTGTTGTGGAAAACTAGTGATATTAGAATGACACCTGTCCAGAGAATGATTTCGAGAACCTTTTTTCATAGATTCAGTTGAAGATTTGTTTTTATGGGACAAGTTTTTATATCAAGTTCGATGCTTTAGCTGAATTACTTCAAGGGATTATTTCTTATATTTATTAAGGTTTTTTTTATCTACTAAGAGTATTAAGTACTTTAATTGATGGAGAGGCGGCGAAATCAAACATTGCTCTCTGCTCAAGTTGTCGTCGGCACTTGAAAGGGAAGAGAACTATTAACAAACAATCGAATCTGAAATGGCTGACTTAAATATATTTAATTTTTTGAAGTGAGACACTTTCACTCTGGTAAAGAACAAAGTGTCATATTCGATTCGAAGGAATTGACTGTATGGAAATCAGATGAGTCGTATACCATGTTTTTTTTTTGTTTTTGTGTTTTCTTTTTTTTAGATTCAAATAGTTTCAATTTTCACATTACTGCTGAGTCATTGTAATGTTGTGTTTTATTTTTGCTAACATGACATCATGTGCACAGATGTTCGAACATCATCACGTTATTATGTTTAGTCTAGTTTGTTTAATTAAAAAAAGAATCAAACAGTGTGTTAGCATTTATCTCTGATCTTTTGAAAATTTATGAAAATCAATCATCTATCTCTGTTTCTACAAAAGTAAGCAAAGTGAACTCTAACCTGTGTGAATATTCACAATCTCAACAGGAGGCTTGGCCCCTGGAGTAGTGTTATGGTTTTCCTTTAGTGATTCCAGTTCTCCCGGTAAAATATTGTCTGATGATCAAAACCAACATACAGCTGCTTCATCTCTCTTTGATTTCGTCTGTGCATTAACGTCGCTGAAAAATCAACTCACAATAACTACCGAGGCGATCGTAATAACCAGTTTACTTGAGTTTAATAGTTCCTAATTTGTTCTCTTCAACCCAAACGTTTTTGATTACGTAATTATAAGCGCATATTCAGGAAATGTTGCCGTGTGATACAACACAAGTGAAAAATGTTGCGTTCAGTGTTGTAGCGTGTTTTGGGTCTCAACAGTCCGTGCTGTGATATTGGCAAGTTTATTTAGTACTGAATGCTCCCGCGGTGCCTCTCTCTACTAACATGCATGCAACTACAACGTACAACCTGGTACCTGAAGGGAACGTATATAAACTTTGTTTCTTTCGGCTATCACAAGTTTCTTAGACTTCTCTCTTGCAATAGTTTTAAAGATTTTGGTTTGAAGGGACAATTTATAATTGTCAAATATTCTTAATTAAGGAAAACAAAATCAAAATGAAAATTTCACTCT